TTCATAAGATTTCCAGTAATGAATTCTTCCAGAATGTATGATTTTTCACTAAGTAATAAAGCTTCATATAGTTGTTTTAAATTCTTTATGTCCCACACTCAACCCCCCAAAAATCTTGAGAAAATCTCATTTCACAGTTTCCCATAAAACCAGGTGCAAAACAGCTGCTTTGGGCATGGAAGGATTCCTGAAGCACTTCATTGGTATCAGTAGCCAGTGAAAAACCATGAAATTGAAGGGATTTTGATAGGTACATTCCCAATCCTTCAAGAAGGTGCCATGGAGGATAGTATGGCTGAGCATTTCCCACATTTGCAAGAAGGACATTCACACAGTCAAGTTTTCCAGACTCCGTGGGATATTGCAGTAATGGCTTAGATTTGCCTGTGTTTCAGTGCTGAAAACACCCTCAGTTTGCTCTGTGGTGGCTGATATGGGTCACTGACACCCCAAAGCTCACTGAGAGCCTCCATGGAGAAAGGAACTTCCCAGCCTTCCTTAATGACCCTCACCAAGATAAATGGCTTTGGACATTTTGTGAGGCTTTCCTGGGTGGCTGCTGCCTTCCCCACCCACCTTCCCCAGAATCATTTGTTTATTTATGTCCATTAAGGCCTTGGGTAAGAGGGAGATTTTACCCATAACTTTGTCCAAAGCCAATCAAAAACAAAATATCTCTGTAATTCATTTTCTTCAGCACTACTTTGATTGATCCCCAGGTTTCCTTCTGCTGAGTACCTGCCTCACTATAAGCCTTGCTTTGAAATGGTTCTCTCCAGACAGGTTCTGTAGGAGCTGAGTACCTGCCTCACTATAAGCCTTGCTTTGAAATGGTTCTCTCCAGACAGAGATAATATGTAATTTAATTTAGGTGATTCAGCCCTAGAAACATTTACCACCTATGTCCCATTCTTCCTCCACCAAACTGAGTTCTGCAGCCTCACAGGAATATCATTTCAATGACCATGTTTTCATCCACCTGGAGGAGGAAAAGGGTGAGATCATGTAATGTAATAAAGCCTGTAAAATTAAACCTAAACCACTGAGGAAGCAAAAGAAGCAGCTGCAGGTTCTAGGTTGCTAGATGTTGGGGGTTTTGTTTTGGGGTTTGGTTTTTTGTTAGAACTCCATTGAACTTCTTACTGTTCAGCATTGATTTAAAAATATGGTGTTCTTAAGTACAGGTTATGTATTTCACTCACTATGTATGGCATCTGAGAAAGACATAATGATATGTGCTTAAAGGAGTCAAAACAGTGAATCAAACATTGATACTGGTAGAATGACAGTTCTTTTTTCCACCTCTACTTTAAATTATTATTTTAAAGAAGAGCACTGTGCAAATTGCAACAGCTTTAGCAAGACTCACCTACTGGGACAAAGTCTGACTGCACTGTATTGTAAAGGATGTTTTCTAGGGCCAGGGGGTAGATGGTCATTCTGGGCATAAGGCTGATACCAGTGATATTCCTACTGTGAAGAAAGTGTTCAATTTTCATCATTTGCTTAAAAAAGTACCGTTTTGTTTGAACAAATGGGAACATAAATGAAGGATATTTCTGTGTGCTTCGCTTACATGAATATTTCCCAGTGTTTTTATATCTCAGTTCTCCAAGGAATAATGTTTTCAATTTCCTTCTGAAATGTAAAATAAGACCTCTGGGCTTAAGGACTCCATAAACGATAGTTCTTACTTGCTTTCTATTTAATTAGCATGAAACAGATCATGTAATCATTCAGGGATAAATCCTGACCTCTCTGGAGAGAGAGGAGGGAAAAGAATAAAGGAATTTTCTTCTTTTGTCAGTAGCAAACAAACAAACGCATAAAATATATGAGAGTGAACTGGCATTTGCTGTTCTATTGAAAAGTCACACTCTAATCAGAGGGACAGGCTGGCTGGTGACAGAACTGATCAGCAGTAGAAGAAGGCATTAAAAATGCTGCTCCATGTACTTCATGCCATTGCAAATCAACAGAATCATTACATGGTTTGGGTTGGAAGGGACCTGAAAGATCATCTAGTTCAATCTTCTTGAAAGTAAACCAGTTCTCAACTGCTAAACCAGAGGCATTTCCTCTCCACTGTCTGCATTACCTGCATATTCCAGGTCAGCTTTTGGTTAAGAGGAGCCCACAGATGGTGAAGAACCATTATATAACTGTGTCCATAGGCAAGACAAAACCTTGGCCCTGTGCTCTTAAAACTGTCACTATTTATTGACACTTCTCACATTTTTCCACTGAGAAACCTGCCCCTGGAAAAGCAAGCTGTAGTGCTAACACAGCCCATAATTGGTTAGAGAGGCACAGCTGAGCCTTTGAGCTCGCAGGCTCTGGAGACCAGAGCACAGGGACTAAACCCAGCACCATTTTCCATGAGCAATTCTCACAGCCCAAAGCCACATCCCCTCCTTTCCCAAAGAGACAAAAACTTTGATGGCAAAAAGAGAATTTCTTCACAGCCTGAGTTAGCCCTGAGCAGTTGGGGTTGAAAGCAGCTTTGAGGTGCTGTTGTGAGGGGAAGAGCATACTTTAAATCCCATTATTACCCTGCCTGGGTATCTTCAGCTTTAACACTGGGCAGCCAGAGCTCTCTGGAAATGGAACAGGTTTAGCACTGACCACAAATAGGAAGCTGCTCCTCAGTCCCTGCCTTTGCAAGAGCTGCATACTGTTTTTGGCCCAGGGATTTTGGATGTTATAACCCTGACCTGCTGTTCTCCTGACTCCACATAGCTGTTTGTGCCTGTGAAGTGCAAGGCAGGTACAGAGCCAGCCCCGGCTGCTAGCAGGCTGCATTTATTTCTCCCTGGAAAGGCTTCCACAGAGTGTAGATGCAGCAATAAACATCTGAAATGCCAGGAGAGATGGTCTACTAAATGCATGAGGCTAAGGACATAAATGAGTGGAATAAGCAGGTACTGGAGAAGCAAATTAGACACTTGGCTTCCTGTAGCTAATTTAAATGGGAAATGGGAGTTGTTCCAGGTATTCAGTAAACAGGCTTGCAAATTAGCTTCCCACAGTTTCCTTATGCTGCTGTATAAAAAAACACGTACTGTGGTTCATTGCTTTAACTCACTTTGTTTCCCAAATCAGTGCATTTTCCCATTATTTTTGTTTTTTAGCGTGAATGTTTTCATACCTGGTTTTGAGCAAATAGAGTAGGAGATAACTCTAAGTAAGCACTGGGCTGTTAATAACCAGGTAGCTACATTCCTTATTTGTGAAATGTTCCTTGAGCCTGGTGTTACCAGGGGATACAAAACTGCTTTTCAGTAGTTGATATCTCCCTGTATGAGAGAGAGAGGCTCAGAACAGCTTCATATCTTCATCCCTTTTTCAATTCCACATGAATTAACTGGAGGCCAGTTCAAGCTCCAGAGGAGAAGCACAGAGGGAAGGGATCTGCTTCCCAGAACCAAATCAGCTCCTGCTTATGGGGAAAAAGGGGTCTGGAAGGACACCTATAATTTAATAAGGGGAAAAAATGGTTTAAACCACTAGTTCCTTCAGACTCCAATGTCAGCTGCAGATTAGCTTCAAACCTTACCCCAAGATTAATCTATATGACAACAGATCTAACTGCCTGTACTTGCCCTCAAAATATCCCTTCTCTGGCTAAAGGCAGCAGTGAAGATGGAGTTACTGAGCTCATGACAGTCTCTGACAAGCACCTACATGTCCCACAAGCTTTTACAAACAGTCCTTTCCTGTGTGCTCCCATACACGGGATGGAACACAAGGGCAGGGAGCCCCTTCCTTTCTGGTCAGAGACCATTATGCTTTAGGACTATAATGTCAAACTTCTGATTCCTCGCTGTTGAATCATCAGCAAAGGGGCCAGCAAAGCTCAGAGCAGAACACAACACCAGAAGTACCACTCACAAACCATTTTCACTGGGAATATTCAGTCTGCTACATTGTCCATTTCATTTGAATGCTAAAGGCAAAAAAGAAATCAGCATTTCCACTTCTGCTCATTCCTTATATGGTGAAATGTTAGATAACTTGTGTTATTTATAACTTGCACATTTGGTATTTTTTTCATAAAGGGGGGAGGAGGAGGACATAGTGGGCAAGAAGACTCTGGATCTTTTCCTGTCTGACTGAAGAGTTAAGAATTAAACTGTGTCATAAGAGCAGTCAACTTTATGCCTATGCCTTGTAGAGAGGGAAATTTTGACCTGGACAATCACAATTGGTGTAGTTTATGACTTTAAAAAGGGACCTACACACATACCACATACAGCACAGGAAAAAGTGATGAACATCAATCCTAAAGCTTTGAGCTGTAAGGTAGCCTTTCCATGATTGTATTTCAAAACCTTTATACTTCCCAGCTCTGTAGCACTTACAATAAAACTGCAATAAGCTCCTGGCCTTCCTCCTGCCATGGCTGAGTTGCATTTCCAGTCATGGTGAGCTGCCCAACAGAGCTGTGCTACTGCTCATTCCCAGGTGAAGTGCTCTCCATCCCTCTTGTCACTGCCATCCAGCTGTGTTGTCTCATCTGGTCATTCTATTTTTCAGTAGAGTCATTGTTCTGAAGGTAAATCCTGCCAAACCTCACTAAAATGACTGTTCTCCCTCCATGGTTCTCATGCCATGTGTAGTGTGGAGCCTTCCCATTCCCCAGCCCAGGTTTCACAGACATCACTCACCAACCCCTCTTCCACATCCCAGGAGATTTATTTCAGATGTGAAGGGAAGGTCACACCATTACCCTGCCACTTACCCCTGATCAGCATGTAGTGACATTTCTCTGCCATATTCATGAACCAGACTTCTTTTTAAAACTGTCAAACAGGCAATTTTATTTCACAGAAATCACTTTTGGACAAATGACCTTTACCTGAATGTGTGTGGCAGCCCTGTCAGGCATTCTGCAGGGCTACAGAACAGGACTCTGAAGCACATAATGCTGCCCTGTGTTATCTTCCCAAAATGTCAGTTATTTTCTGCCTAGTGGCATTTAACTTGGGGGAAACCTCTTTGCATGCAGCAGTCGTTGTCCAAATTCTTCACTCAGCAACAGCAATGCTAGAAAGAAGATCTAAATTTCTAAACTAAGCCTAAAGCAAAGGTAAGAATGGCATATGTGAATTTAAAGTCAGCCTTTAGCTGTGCTTAAAGATTTCTTGCAGATGCTGACTACTGGGGGTTTTTTGGGGTTTTTTTGCCTTGCTCTGCCTCTCAAAATATTGTTTTCAATGTCCTCATTGTCTTATTAGCCTTCCCTTCCCCCTGGACCCAGCGACATGCAAAAGGAATGACGGTAGATGTTACTTTTTCCTGCTCCGTGGCAGAGAGGAGTGTAGGGTTTCAGAGATTGTAAACTATTTCTTCTGCACTGAGAGATTGACTGCATGGGTAGAGCCCATTAAATATAGCCATGCTGACAGTATTGCTTCAGAGAGTTCTGTGGGAAAAAATCTGTCTGCACTATGTTGGTACCTCCAGCCAGGCAGAGAGCTGTCTTGATAACTCATTCAGATAATGAATAAAATGTGGAATGAATTCCATGCAGGATCAGCACTCTGCTGATGTGAGAACCGGTTGCAAAACGTACGACAGGATCCTCCTGTGGCTGTTGTTTTAAGCTTGGCAAATACCATGGATTGTATATGCTAAAGTCAGGATATTATTAAAATAAACCTCTCAAAACTCCAGAGGGTTGAGATATGATGCGGCTTCCTTTGAGCTCAGGTCCCCTTATCACTCAGAAATGTTGTGTGTGAATGCAATTTATATGAAGTTCTTTAAGACCAGGACAGTCTGTTATTTCTGCCATGTCCAGGAAAATCAGGGAAGGTATGTAACAGTAATAAATCAATTATTTCTTGCAAATTAGACCAAGATAGCATTGCCTAACAGCAGTCTTCCAGATGGTTGGGATGAAAGGTGGACTGGGCTGGAGGGGAAGGGAGGATTTCTAGATAACCAGAATAAATGGGATACACTTTAGCAGTAGAACTGGAAAGATCCAGAGGAATGACACCTGTGTATGAGGAAAGAGATATCTGGCAGCTTGGGTTATGTCACCGGGTTGGCAGAGCAGGCTGAAACAAAGACTTTTTCTTGACATCATCAAGGAGACAAAGCCTTTATGGTGTTGAATTAGGAGTAACCAAGGGGAAAGGAAATGACAGATTTAAATAAATGTGGTGTGTTTGTACTCACCCAGTCACCTTCAAGTGACACAAGACACCTTCCAGTTCTTCCAGGAGAGATGAGTCCCATACTCTTCAGATGGGGATGTTGAAAGCAATAGTAATTACAATTTTAAAAATTAAAAAAGTTTTGATCCTGCAAGGCTTTTATCACACTAACTGCCAGCAGTTGTAAAGTGGTCAACTGAGCAAAGAGCATAATCAAAGAAGCTTGATGTTAATTAGCTAGAAATTGCCATTAACTCATTAATATGCATATCTTCAGATAATAAAATATAACATCTAGTAATATTAATATATTAACATTAATTATTTTAATATTAATCTGTTCCTAATCAGAGGTAAAACCCTGAATGCTATTTAAGAATATCTACACATTGGTTCCCAAGAGGCAGCAGAGTTTGCTGAACAACCTCAATTGTCAGCAAAATGGGTGATTCCATGAAACCTTCAAGGATACAGAGGTTCAAACACCAAAAAAGTCCCTGACTGCCCAGCAGGGATGGCCATGTGGGAGCCCAAGTAACTGAATCCAGCCTGTGAGGCTGCTCCCTGTGGCCTTGTGACAAGCCAAACCAAACAGATTAAAAGCATTTTTGCAGGTATTTGTCAGTGAGGACCCAGAGGGTCTGGTGAGGCACTGCCCAGATGCTGGGCCCACCTCTGAACATCTGTCTGGGAATAAGAGTGGCTCTGGAGTGTAGGGAAACTGATGGTGATAAACCAAGTAATCCCTGCTAAGTCTGTGTAGCAGGCCAGCGTGTCTTCCCTGCTAACTCTGAGAGGGAATTAGTCACGCAGAGGATTTAGGATGAACCTAAAGGAACAGCTTTGCACTTTGTGGGAAGCAAGAAACACTCAACATCATTTTGTGCCTACGCCTAAAATACTGGTGGAGAAGTACATGTTTTACCAGAGGCGTTTTTCTCAGTGTCTCTCAAATTGCTGCCACTTTCACAGCACTCCTAAGACAATTCCTCAGCATAATTCTATCCCCCATGGCTAAGTTTGCTCAGGTCTAGTTGCACTTGGGCAGCTGATGAGAGCACGTGGTGCAAAGGCTGAAAGAACAGGGCAAAGACAGACCTATGTCCCTCCTACCCCATGCAGATTCTGGGCTGAACTTGAACCTATGGCAACACGGAATAGCCTCCTGTTCTGCTATAAATTAGTTACAGACTCCTCACAGCTGCCTCCATGACGATGTGGAGATGAAAAGCAGCTCAAGGCTCTCACCAGGCACCAGGTCTCACTCTGTGTTTTGCATCAGTCCCACTGTCTTCATCAAAATGACTATTTTTCTCTTTTCAAAGACAGAAAACATCCACATCTTCTATATTTGGATGCTGGACATCTGAAAAAAGAATCACCCATGAAAACAGCCTGAATGAACCTGCTGAATGGCAAACCACTGCCAACAAGCCTCAATGATTTTTCTAGCAGAGATGTTTTTGCTGTTTTTGCCTCTGAGAAAAATAGAAGAGGATGGGGGAAGAGCTGGTTTCTTTTCTCATGCATGCACCCATCATCAACAGCTTTGTTAAGGCAGGAAAATTATTTCTGGATTGTTTTTCTTGTTCTTAAAACTTGTAAATTCAACAAAAGTGTTTTGGCTGTTATTGCTGTTATTGCGAGGTAATAAATACAGAACCTCGGAGAATTTCCAGGGACAGAAGTATTTAACCCAGACACAGTGAAACAGAAACACGAATCTCTTTGAGAATGAGGCAAGGGAAAAAGCCAAAAATCAAGGGAAGAGGCTGAGGGTTTGTTCCAAGGTCTTCTTTGTAAGTGAAGAGGGTGGGTGGTTCGAGATAAAATCAGGAATTTGACTTCTCAGGACAGATGGATTTGAAAAAGAAAAAAGAAATACATCTACAGGCCAAACTAAAAATGGTTATCATGGTGAAGTTATGGGCTGTTTCAGGCTGCCAAGACAAATAGCTTGCATCCCAAAGCAGTAAAGGTTACATGCATGGAAAATGGAGCTATCCCTGAGGACTAACTAATATACTACAATTATTATTATAATTTTATCAAAGTGTTTTGAGAAAACCAGAGCATGCTGAGCTACCTAGTCTGACTGCATCTGCAAGAGTCTTAACAAGAGATGTTCCAGCCTAAAATGTTTCATCTTCTGATCTTCATATTCTAGCTAATATCAGCTAATGCTGTTTGAGACGTGAAGGCAGTGTCACTCCAGCAATTAACCAGAGCTGTTTGAGGTCACTGATGTACTGAAAATGCTTTGAATTTCAGTAAGTTTGAAGTTATTTCCTAATAGGCCTCATGCCACTGCTGTGGGAGACTTACCCAAGTGAAATGTAATCACATATGGAATTTCAGCTAAGTGCAGGTATTGCAGGGGGAAAAAGCATCCACACTTCTGACGAGGTTGTATCAATCTCCACTTATCTGCTGTTTTAATAAAACTGCCAAAGTATGCTGGAAGGCACTGTGTCCAGCACTTACTGGCACTTACTCTGATGCACTGATAATATACATTATTATGCAATAATTATAGATTTATGCTTCTTATTATATAAGAATATTACTTCTTTTTGGAGCAACCTTCATGGTTGGATGACAGTGTAAATTCCCCCATGTCCCATATTTCTCCAAGAAGTGTAGCCTGATGGTTAGAGGAAAGGACAGGACACTGGGATCTCCCAGACTTCTTTCCCAGCTGTGCAAACGATGAGGGTCAGCTCCTTTTCCACACAAATCAATGAAACTCTGCACTGAACTTTCCTGGGAACACGATAAAATCCTTAATCTCCCGCAGCCTTCCTTCCCTATCCTGCAAGATATCAAGCACACCAGCCCAGCAAAGCCCTTCAGCAAATGCCTGGAGCTCTGTAGCCAAATCCAGAGCTTGTGGTGAGCAGAGCTTGGGGTGTGCTGCTGCTTCCAGAGCCAGGAATGAGTGGGGGGCGACTACATCCATCTATCCTCCAAAGGATGTTTCAAACATTAAGTAACAGGATTCCTGGAGACTGGGCACAGGATGCAACAGAGGGAGATTATCATTTCTATCCCTATTCTTAATAGCTATTAATGGAAATGGGTGATAAAGTATCTCTAGCTACACATATACAACATCTCTCTCATCCTGTCAAGGTAGAGCATTACCCTGTTAAAAAAAAAACCAAAAATGGGTTCAGGTTGGGGAAGGGGCAAAAGAAAAAGCTGTTTATAACACGTTAAGCACAGTTTGGAAGTTTGTACTCTAATTCTCCCTGCGAAGCCAGAACCTGCCTACAGGGTGTGTTGAGTTAGTTCCTCATTCCTTCTTTGCTTTTTTTTCTTTTTTTTTTTTTTTTCTTAACTTCTTTTGAAATCACGGTGTGCGGAGCATACCTTGCCCCGGGGGAAGGTATTGCTGAGCCATTACTCACACTATAAAAGGGCGCTAGCTCTCACTCCTCCCTTTCTTTGAGGCCCCTTTTGGAGGTGAGGAAAGGGCTGACTGGCCAAACCACCGGAGCCCAGGGTTAACCAGCCCTGGGGCACAGAGCAGGGGGGCTTTGGGGTGCTCAGCCATGGTGCCTGGCTCTGGGGAGCTCCAGCCTGGGGTCACGGTGGGCTCCAAGAGCACAGCCTGGTCTGGTGTACCTCCTGAAGCTGTTCTAGCCTGGAAGCTGGGATTGGCTTAAGAGCTTTGTTTGGGGGAATAGCTCCCTATGAAACACTAGTTTCTGTCTTCTGAATGAGTGGAGATTAGGAGGCAGTGAAAAAAGGGGGTGTGCTCTGAAATTTAAAGGTAAAATCCCTCACTCCCGGTTCCAGTGGACTCTGCCCCTTTTCTGTTTGCTTTTCCCTCGGCATGTGCCGGCAGTTGGCCCAGCTGAGGCTGATGTGGGGTCACGTTGATGCCCAAGTCCCAGCAAGGCTCTGGAGCTTTCCCCTTCCCCTCAGCACAGCACACAGCCAGGGCTCCTCACAGGTGTCAGAAAAAGGAGAATTTTTTCATAGTTTATAAACTTCTCTGACTTCATAGACCCCCATGAACCTTCAGCCTTCCAGCTCCCTAACACACCGCAACCCAAGCTACGTGAATGAGGAGAAAACCATCAATGGAGTTAGCAATGTACCATAAAATTCACTGATTAAATTACTGGATAAATATTTGAGTGGATCTAGCTGACAGGTATGTCATGCATGCAGTCTTAAAATAGGAAAGCAAAGGGAAATGAGGGAGAAATGAGCCAAGGAACAGGAACAGGAATGTGATTTCTGGTAACACAGCTCATGTTCATCAGTGCCTTTTTGGCAATGTAGAGGATGTGTGTGGTGAAACTGAGAGCAAGGCACCATGTTAAAATAAACTGAGAGAAATTGCAGCTATGAAGAAACAGAGCATTAAGCAGCAGTTCTCAGGGAATAAGGCTGGTGAGCGAATTTATGAGGATTTACATCAGCTGAACCTGGCAGGTAGTTTTTAACATGCTTGCAAGAAACAGAGGTAGCTATTTCCAGCAAAATCTTGGGAAGCTGGGGAAAATGTGGGCTCACTGGAGAGGCATAATGCTCTCAGCAGCCTCTGATGGTGCTGGGCTGTGTCTCCACACTGGCTCCTCCACCTGCCATCTCCATCAGGGGCTGGCTGCTCCTTCTGCAGCCCAAGGATCTTGTGTTTAATTTAAAAAGATGAAAGGAAGAGTTTGTCCTGTTGCACAAAGGCATCAGGGCAGTGTGTGGCAGCCAGCAGGGCTCTGCTGATGAGCTGTCGAGGCACACACAGCATAACTCTGGGCAGCAGCATCGGGGCAGGATTAGGCATCACCACATCCATCAGGTCAAGCCTGGAAGGGTCTCTAAGGACAGGCTGATCATATTTATGCTATTCCAAGTAAACAGTCTGCACAGGAATTACTTTAAAACACATCTAATTCATTTTTGACCGATTTTGCAAATGTTTCCCCTTTCCTCAATGCGGCATTGACTGGCCCTGCAAAGCATTTGGCAGTGGCCTGGGTGGTGTGTGCAGTCACTCTGCTCCTTGATGTTACCTCATCAAAGAGCAGCTGAAAATGATATTTCCAGCCAGACGGTTCTTGAGAGTGGCCGGTGAACTCGCTCTGCCCTGTGCCCTCCAACTGGAGATTAGAGAAGCTTCCTGTATGCCAATTCAGTGATAAATTTAGGATTGCGACATGCTGGAAAAAAAAAAAAAAAAAAAAAGAAAAAAAGAAAATCATGACAGGCTATTTTTGGTTTCAAAAGAAACTCTTCTCGCTGGGTCTTTTTGAGCCCTCACCTCCACGTACAGCTGCAGAGGAGAAGGAAAACAGGATGCAGGGTTGTAGAGCTGGAGGAATAGAGCATAAATCAAAGGAGACAAGCTGGTCCCTGTGTGGTGCCTGGGTTGGACCCCAACCTTTGGGCAAGGTGAGCAATTGTTGCTTGCTGGGGACTCTCTCAGGAACAGCTTTGCCCAGCTGCCTGAACGTTTATACTGGGCCATAGCCCCGTCTCACTTTTTCCTCCCACTGTGTCACCTCCTTCCCCTGTGCTGACAAGTGATTTAGACAGCCTGCCCTGCTGGCCCTGCATTTGAAATGTAAATCAAACATGGACATAAAGCTGGGTTTCAAAGTTGACTATTAACTAGGGCGGAAGGGGTGGCGTAGCAAAAACAAACAGTTCCAAGTTCAAGTCTAAACCATGAGAGCAGGCTGCAAACCCTTCCTGCTCTCCCATCGCCAGCCAGCACGAGGGTGAGCACTCTCCCTGGGGCAGAACGTGCTTAGGGGCTGCCTGGGTTCCTATCCCAGGTGCCTAGACTCCAAATCAAGTCTGACAACTGACTTTAAAGGGAGGAGGGTTCTGGGATGCTGTGGCTGGCATTGCATGTCAGTGTGCAGTGGTTTGAGTCACAGAATCACAGAACGGTTTGGGTCAAAAGGAACCTTTAAATGTTGCCTAGTCCAGGGATCCTTGCAGACCCTGATGTCCTGGAAGCTTTTGACACTGAGCTCTGCAGTGGGCTGGTCCAATAGCTCATACCCCAGAACACTTTACTTTTTCTTGGAAAAGCTGGGGTTTGAAAGCAGCATCTCCTCAGCTTCCTCCAGGAGAGGTAATGGCCAGCTGTACCTCACAACATGTGGAGATCCCCTGGAGGCACCTCTGCTGTCCCACTGCTTTCAAAACCAGTGGAAGTTTTGCCCCAAAACTATTGGAGGCCCAGGACAAATCAGTGTGAACGTGGTTTTTAGCAAGTAGAGTGTACTTTTACCATTACAGAATGTAGTTTAATATTTATTTACCTGTCACCTCAAATAATTCTGGTGGGTGGGACCAGCAGCAGCACTTATTTTCTCTGAAAAGATTTGTACTATGACTTAGAAATTTGTCTCTGATAACTGTAGTGTCACCATTAAGGTCTAACTTGGAACTCAAAGATATGAGTAACTGATAATACAGAGAGGTGTGAAGCAGTGCTGCTAAATACACCCATCCTGGCACACAGCAGTTCCCTGGGCCTGGCCTGGTCAGCATCAAAGCCTGCCTGGATAGGAAGTGAGATTTCTTTGCTCTCAAGGGCAATCTACCAAGAAAGAAATCCTCACCTTTTTCTGAATTCCTTAAGGCAGTATTTTTAGTGCCAATTTTCTGCCAGCAAGAGACGGTGAGAAGAGCAGCTGTGAAAAGTGC